TATGAAGCCAATGCGATGATACTGACAAGACACTGTCTGACAATATACGCGTTGAACGTGAACAGTTTCATGCTCGAGTCGGAGCTGCGCAGTAGCAAAGCCCAACGATAGCCTCTCACAATGTGGAAATCGACATCGAAAAGCTGTGGAGGCATATGATTCCTGGAACGCCCGGAGTATGGCCGGCGTAATACCCTCGACCTCTCGTCGCGCCAAGAGATCCACCACAGCGCCCTCATATGTGTGGGCAAGCTTGCTGAAGAGCGTACGGTCGTTATCAACGACGTAGGTCTCAATATCTGAACAAATTTGTGAGCTCATCGAGGCGGCTATAATGAAGAGACAGTTTGCGTTCTAAACTTACCTGGAGTATTGTCGCCGTCAAGTTGGCTAACTAGGTGTCTGAAACTCAGTACATCTGCCATCAAGCCGTAGATCGGTATATCCAGAAAGAGGCTGAGCCGATTCTCTGCATGTGGAATGTTTGCCCAGTCCGGCGACAAGTTCTGAGTCGCACCAAGTCCGAATGCGTGCAAATAATCTTCGTGTGTTCCGTGTAGCCGGTCTAGATGACGTCGAAGGGGTCGACCTGGGCGAAGATCTCTTCTGGAAGCATATTGCAAGCAGTGCTCGATCCAAAACTCTATTGCATATGGTAAAAGCCTGTAGTTGCCGCTCGCGATGAGAGCAAGATAATCTGAGGAGTTGCTTCCCAAGCGTACGAGTTCCAGGCCGCGGATGATGACAATGGCGCATGCGCACGATATGTCTAGTGCAACATCGACTGCTGGAAGAATTTGGGGTATTTGAGCCTTCAGAAAGTATCTACGCGATCGTTAGACACGATGAATCCACTTTTTTGGTAGACTTACTCTTTCACCGAAAAGTGGACAGGTACTATCGTCGAATCCGGAAGTTCTTCGATAAGAGGCTTGCAATGGTCTAGTATGGAAGCGACAGGAATACTCCGCATCTGAGTGCCTATATCGTCTGAAAACATAGACAGCGCCTGCAGTAGCTCTGATTTATGCAAAGGCCTTCGTGAGAAGCATATCCAGCTCATGATGCGCGGCACGCCTCCGTAACTTTGGGCACCTGGGGCGCTGCAGAGACGAGTTACGATCCGTTTGTAAAGGTCTTCCAGATCAGAGGGAAGATCGTCGACGATAGTACGGAGTTCCTCAGGGCTATATACCGTATCGAGTGATTCCAGCACGAGGCTCACCCACAAGAACATACCTGTCTGAGTGTTAGAGGACGTGTTGTCGTTCAACAGACTGAGCAGGACGTACCCTGAGATTTCTCCAGCAGAGTCTTCTTGACATGAGCCATAATCGAGGAATCTGGGTCGAGCTGTTCGAAGTGCTCGGGAAGATCAGAAAGCTTATCATTGATAAAACTGGCAATCGCACGAGTGACTGCAAGACCTTCATCACCACCGCTGAGAGAGATCATCGTTGACAATTTGTCCTTCTTGCGCCGCGAGGTGGCCATGGTGTCTCGGCTCGCGACCATGATCTTGCAGACATGGGAAGACTGGTCGGTTGAAACCATCTGCGAAAGATCATCGAGAAGCTCCTTTTGATCCCGTGAAGTCCATTCGTCAATACCGTCTACGATGAGTCGCACGGATCCCAAACCTCGGAGAAGTTCAGGGAGAAGTGTCAACAACGCTTTCTTCGTGGGTTGAGGATTCGACTTAAAACAGACGTCGTGGACGTAGATGGCGAGATCCTGATGTTTTTGGATGACCTGCGATATGAGAGATCGCAGCAGACGGCTCGGACCATCGGAGCGGCTTCCGCGGAAACTGCAGAAGTAGTAGAAAACATGGAAGTCGTTTGCCTCAGTGTGTTGCACAAGAGCAGAGCAGATCATTGACTTCCCTTCGAACAGGTCAGCAAATGACTAGCCGCATCGGCGGCAGTTGAACATACCAGCCCCTGGTTTACCACAAAGCCACAAAAGCGGAATCTTTGCGCTATCTCCTAGCCATAACTCAGTTGCTTTGTGCTGTATGAACCAATCGCAGCTCCGTGGTAAGTAGTCTCGGAGGTGCCAGTCAAGCAAGTTGGCTGGGAGGGTATCTGTCGTTCCTAGCCAGGCTAAAACCTTTTGAATCTTGACCTAGAATTGTTATAGAGTCAGTCCGTGTATCAAAAACACTAACTGCAGCAGTGTATACTGACAGCAGTCCACTCGCGCTCTTGTTGCTCCCAATTTTCATCGTCGGCTTTGCTACGTCGAACGGATTCAGCGATGTCCGCTGCGGCAGCTTCTTTGTCGGCTAGCTCGGTATGGTACGCCAGATCATTCAGTATCCCGCTGAATCGAGATTCGAAGCCAGCCCACGTAGAACTGAAGAATATAGACCATGCTATAGCTAGTTAGAACAACATCAGGTCAGGCTGCTAGTGTACTTACATTTTCTTCTCACAAACTTGTAAGCTCGACGATGGAACTCTACAATGTCAGAATATACTAGAGCTAGTACATTTTGGAAGTTGTGATCGTTGACAAGTGCATCGCCAAGACGATCCATGCGAGAGATTATGTCTCCAATCTTGCCGTAGGCTTCTATGAATTTTTCGAAGGCACTGATAGAATCGGCCGTGATCTGTCTTCACAGTAAGTACACGGTCGCTGCCTGAGCGTGCGACTTACCATAAGCATCAGCTTTACTGGTGCCCAAATCCATGGCAGAAACGGTGTCCCATTGCAGAGCACCTCAACTACCTTGGAGTAATGCTCCATTCCCTGAAGGAATTTGTCCAGCCGGGCCATGCATCTTTGAGTCCGGCGAGCGCGAAGCTGGCGCTCGATCCGTATCGCCTCATCGCGGACATCCTTGAGCTGGGTGTTGTGGAACAGTCGCTTGTCGTCTGGCGCTACGGTGGATGCAAACCGCTCGAACGCGTCTTGAAGCGTGACGCGGGCTTGGGCGGAAGGGGCCGCCGCCATTGTACCGAGGTTGGGCCGTGCGCACGTGTGGCACGTCACCAAGGCGCGATGGAATCTCGGGCAGAAGACGTTTCGACTACAACACTCGTCACTTTATGGACACAATGATGGTACTGTGGACAGGGGGGAGATGAAGGGCAGCTTGTAGACGGCACGCTCAAGGTTGACAGCACATGCGCATGAGTGTACAGCCTCGTAGGCAGACACGCTCAGCCCCAGTGGCTTGCAATAGCTCGCCGTATCCAATGGATGCACTCAAGCTCTCTAAGTTCAATCATTCAACATGGTGATGTGCGAGACACCGTCTTTCTTGTCTTCAGACAGTGCACAATATGCTTGCATGTCCTCCTGAGATCGTCGTCGATGATTTCGCTGCTCCAGCTCCAAAGCGACGGCGATTCGATTCCCCTCATGTGGAGAGCCTCACACTCGAGAGCGCTTGCAATACATTGCAACCACCACCACCGCCTGGCTACGTGACCGCAGAAGATGTAGGAGATGAAACTTTAGTGTGCTTTGGTATGGTTAGTTGCGTTCTGCTCACCTTCGTGGTCTCTGCTTACGTTGCTCAGATATCGGATCTAAAAGTACACAGTCCTAACCATCATGTCGCATCCTCTATTCCTGCGCACGACGCGATCCGCTTCGAATCCCCTCGCACAATAATTCGCGTTAGTACCAATGCTTCGGTCGGGCGGCTGGACGACTATGGGGGCGAGCTGCTCTTGCGGCTGGTTGCCGACGATGAGCTCGTACTACAACTTGTACTCTTTTCGGCTCCCATCGCTCCCCCGATAGAACGGAGGAAACACAGGGGCGCTTTGACGTATATCGGCGCCACAATATATGGTCCCAAGCGCCGCTCCGGTGATGTGGGCGAGTTCTTGAATCAAGCCGGTTGCTACTTGGACGACCCTGTTGGCTGTGACCGCAACGTACCCTACACGAACCCTCAATGCCTCTTCACTCTTCACGAGCCCCCTCCAATGACATTTGATTTGTTGCAGTCACACGAAGCAAAGATCAACAGCTTTCCACAAGCCTCTCTAGGTATTTTGTCCGGTTTCGAAACTACTGATAAGTTCGAGTTATCAGCTAGCCCGGCAGCTCTAAGGACAGAGTTGAAAGAGTACGTACGCCGCCGTAAAAGAGGTCAATTGGCTGACTCAGAATCAAAGGCATCAGAAACAAGCCCTGACTTTCTTCCTGCGACGCGAACGAGGTATGCATCCAAACAAGGATGGTGTTGGTATATGGCTGCGGAATATAAGCGCGGGACAATCTACGTGCGTATGCCCGAGCTATTATCTCACGTCTCAATGCTGAACCTTGGTGTGCTTCAGTTTTGTGAACGCTATGACTGGTGAAGTCCAATCTGCGCCTGGCCCGGTGTGGAGTGGTGGATTGCTCGCCGATGATATGGGCCTTGGGAAGACGCTGAGCATGATCGCTCTGATCGCTTCTGACCAAGATCGCCGTTCAGACAATGATCTGTCTACAGGCTACCCCACATCCGAGACTTCCATACCATCGACTCTGATAGTGGTGCCACTGAGCTGTATGAGTGCATGCATCCTACGATTTCACGCATGCTGACGCCATTTGCAGTATTCAGTGTCTGGGAATTGCAGCTACAGAGGTTCGTCGTCGCAAACTATGCCAGATACGCTTACTGACCGTCATCAGCCACGTCCATCCCGGCAAATTAACATGGTGCATGCACCACGGCAACCGAAGGTTCAAGCTGAAGAACCACAAAAGACCGCCCGGTAGGTTGTATCTAACGTACACACCACAGATAATGCGTCGACTGACGAGCCGCTGCATCACTAGAGATTGTGTTCACTACCTACCAGACTCTTGAGGGGGAGAATCGCAGGAGCGTTCGGAGCAGCGACTCTATATTCTCGCACCACTGGAGGCGAGTCATAATCGACGAGGGTAAGCATAAAGGGCCCCCACATTTTGTATTTCCATACTGACTGTACTGCTCTCCAGCACATACAATACGCAATCATAAGACATCTACTGCGCACGCAATGGCCGCACTCCGCGCGACTTCAAGATGGGCAGTCTCGGGTACCCCAATCCAGAATAGCCTACTCGACTTCCATGGTCTCTTCAAATTTCTTCATTTCGCCCCATACGATGATCCAAAAGTTTTTGACGATGACATTTCGAGCATATGGCGTACCAAAACCGTCGAAGAAGCCAGTGAGACATTCAAGAAGCTACTATCGTGCTTGATGATCCGACGAACGAAGACTATCCTGGATTTGCCCAAGAGAGATGACCATCTGATGCGTGTGCCATTCAACCACGAGGAAGAGAGATATTATCGCCAAATCGAGCAGCCCGTCATGGAAATGCTAGACCGCGACACACGAGACGACAGCCAAACCCAGGTTCCTTGGATGACTGCTATACAGCAGATCAACAAGCTTCGTCTTATCTGCAACCTAGGCGTCTCCACTCATTCGCAAGCCGACTGCAACTCGCAACCTGGCGGCGAATCCGATGACAAGACATCCGTAATGAACACACGCTTCTCAATGGACGGAGGATCATGTGAGCTGTGCTCCCAGCCAGTCGAACTATCGACACTCGGCAGCAGTCTACGGGATATTGTTCAGCCACAAGTCTATTATTCAGCTTGCAGCAAGTTCTACTGTGCAGAGTGTTCCGCGAGCCTTCAATATCGATCACCCGAGCCTTGCGCATGTATAGATCAGCCGCGACAGTGTCAACTCCATCTCCTGGCGCCCTTAGCCACTCCCAGCATTATGCCTACCGACGGTCTTTCTCCCTCACAAATGGATTGGGACTATAGTAATGAAGCCTCAAGTAAAGTATGGGCGCTTATGTCGCAGATCAGGTCGCGTCCACATGAAAAGCAGTGAGTCTACCAGCATCATTGGGCACCTTACCAGACTAACCTTTAGCTAGTGTCGTATTCTCGTCTTGGACGTCCAGTCTCGATATGGTAGAGAGAGCGCTTCGGTGTGATCCACATCAAATCATTCAATCCGTCCGAATTGATGGCAAGGTTACGCTGAGGAACCGCAGTATCGCTATACAACGCCTTCAAGATGATCCTAGTATTCGCGTCATACTCATCACCATCGCCTGTGGTGCCTGTGGGTAAGTTTACGAAGACAACACACGCTAAACTCGAAGGCTGGCTAACGGGTATCTCAGTCTGGACCTAACCGCGGCATCGACAGCTCACCTTCTCGAACCTCAGTGGAACCCATCTCTTGAAGACCAAGCACTTGCCCGCATCCACCGGCTTGGACAGCTTCATACCGTGACCACTATACGTTACGTCATGGAAGACTCGTTTGAAGAGGTACTCATGCCGCAGTGAGATTGGAAAATTGAACTAACGAGTACATCAATAGCACATCCTCGAAGTTCAAGATCGCAAGAAGCTGCTCGCCACCACGCTCCTATCGAATGGGTCTTCGCTGGAGGTAAGCAATGCGCACACATGGACGTTCGAGATAGCCCTCAGATACTGACAAGACGTTTTCAGAACCTGCGACAACTGCTGCATGAAAGGAAGGGTGGTCAACATACTTGATGGAACGTAAGAGCATCGATGGCTGAACGCAATATATCCTTGTTATCATTCGTACCCGAATTCCAGTTCCTGATAACTGGCAATACTGTCATACGAGAGTACCATTGTGTTCAGGGTGGTTGTTTGCGGAAGTCGTGACTGAATCGCCGCCCGCTTGGCTTCATCGCGCACAACTTCAACATTGTACTGACGCAAGCTTCTATGTGGAGCCTTCCCCAGGTACCTTAAGTGACCTCTGCCGTTAAGTATCTACTTTCTAGCTTGTGATGATACATGACTCTTGCGCATGCTTCTGCGCCTCCCTCCTCGCAGGCGGCTGGTGTTGATGTAGGTGGCCCGTGCGGATCGCGTCTTTACGCGTCGGCGCGTCATCCTCCTTCCATCGCAGGAAGAATTTGCGAGCACTACATCCCCAATGACCAGCGACACCCGCACACCACCAGCGTATATGCCTTCGATTACACGCGGAAAGTTACGGCCAATGTTTGCGCATTCCGCGTGCTGCTACATGGCGTAGCGCGTGTCACGGACTTCCAGACAGCATGTTCAGAAGCTGCGCACGGTAATCGTTGTATGCCTTTTTGCGCGCTTCTTCTTTCTTATCAAACTCCACCTTCTCCTCTCCGCTCAACCTCGCCGAAATCACGTCGGCGCTTTCGCGCTGCGCATTCTCGCGTTGATCAGCCTGGCTCAGCTGTTCGTAATAGAGAAGAGACGTTGCACCAAGACGGCGACGATGGCAGCTACCCAGGTTCTCGTCCAATCCGCCGGTTCCTTGAGGACGAGGCTGCTGCGCGAATGACAACACTGCAAAGGGTGAGCCGCTGCAATTAGCGACGTGGCCTCCAAGTGAAAGGGTGAAGACTATGCCATCATGCCATGGGCGACGGTTGGTATTCTCTCCCTTTGCTGCACAGATCGTGCGTGGCATTTCCTAGATTGGCTTAGCGTATATACCCCGCACAAAAGCACGTGACAAGGTCTCCATCCCAACGCCACTCCGCGCAGCCTTGAGAGCAGCTTGATACAGTCTGTTCATGCTCGAGAAATAATGCCTGGCGATGTTCAACTCGTACTCCCGCGCCGCGATCCGACAATTGAATGATGGTATCAACGGAGGAGAGCTGTGCGTGCCATGCCAGATAGCTCTAGAAGAAGACGAGCGTGCGGGCTTCGCTAGCATTGGTACGTCAGCCTGGCTGAACAACGGCTTCAGAGAATACGATGAATACCAGCATCTTACCGAGCCTGTTCTTTATTGCGACTGTTGCCGTCATGTTCTTCGCGCCCGAGACTTCCGGAGACGACAAGGAAGAGGTCAAAGTCCATCGGTTGATGCGCAGAAGTATGCTGGGGACTTCAACGGGCTGACAACGTGTGTGTTTCTGCATGATGATGACCTGGATTTGCAGGGGTATGAGGCGGCATTGAACGACTTCAAGGTTCAAAAATCAGAGTATAGTCGGACAGTAAGGCATCACTGGGCGGATGTGGAATTGATCAAGAGTTGGCTTGATGACTGCGAAAAGGATCACGGCCATGCCTGCAATGAACACCAAACATCAGTTACTGATACTGGACCGCTTTTACTTCTGGATGCTATCGATGATCGTCTCGCGGTTGGGAACTTCAAGGATCGGTATTTCGCCTTGAGTTACGTTTGGGGCGCGTCGAACCAGTTCCTGACCCTGATGGAGAATTACGACCAGTTGCGCCAACCCGGAACTCTCTCCAAGCAGCCTTTGACTCGAACCATCAGGGACGCAATGACCTTTGTGAAGAGCCTGGGTGAGCGATATTTGTGGGTTGATACGATGGTAGGTGAATTCAGCATCATAGATTGGGGCACCCACTCACGAAATCCAGTGCATCATCCAAGATGACGCTGCCAACAAAGCGAGCGCCCTCGCCCAGATGTGCGCAATTTACAGCTGCGCTATGGCCACGGTAGTGGCTCTAAACGGAGACTCCGCCGACGCCGGCCTACCTGGCATTCCGCCTACGGCCCGCAACACCACCGCAACCTTCGTCACCCCTGGACTACACATGGTGGAGAGATCATCCTTGGAGAACATGTTGGCAAACCACACCTACGATGGTGTAGACGTCGATTGTATCTACAACACGCGCGCCTGGACATTCCAAGAACGATCACTCTCGAATCGGAGCATATACTTCCTCGACGAACAGGTGTACTTTCACTGCAAGAAGCAGCTTGTATGCGAAGACAGATATATCAGCGATGACACCAGCTTCTATACCCTGGACAAGATGCGCACGACAAGCGTAGAACTCAAATCGAAAACTACTAGTGCTGGCACATATAGTCCACTGGACGAGTTTCGTTGGTACGAAGAAATCATCGCAGAATACACGGCAAAGAAAATGGGGTACCCGGACGATATCATCAATGCTTTCACCGGCATCCAGACTATGCTAACTCGCATGTTTGATTGGCCGTTTGTCGGCGGCCTCCCGACTCCCCTTCTGGATCTCGCATTACTTTGGACTCCTGTTACCACCATCGAGCGAAGATTGACTGCCTCACAGCAGCCAAGCTGGAGCTGGTCGGGCTGGATCGGGCGAGTCCGGTACGTAGACCTCGTGCGCCCAGGGCATAGGCCGATAAGCTCGTTGTTCAAGCCGCTCGCCAAACATCAGCTCGCCCAGCCAGCTACGATTGTCTTCGAATGTATGAGCGTCTCTCTAAAAGCGTTCGAACTGTCCAAGGCCCCAAAAGGGCTTTTTGACCCATTCCAGAGCACATCTAGCCCCATCACCGAAGACTCATGCTACGTCTTCGACAGCAATAAGCGTCGCTGTGGCATGCTCATAGGCTTTTCGCAAGAAAACGCGTCTGATATAGCCAGTGACAGACTGAAGCTCCTCACGCTTTCGGCTTGGAAGTCGAACAACAGTCTCACGAAGAACGGGTCAGTCATCTCTCATCTCTCGGAAAATGGTTATTTCTCAGACGAAGAGGTGTACGATCAAGCTTTCCGCGATGCAGAGTGGTGTACTTACAACGTCATGCTCGTTCGCTCGGTAGGCGACGCGTATGAGAGGGTTGCAGTGGGACAGATGCACGTAGACGCGTGGCATAGAGCGGGTGAGACGCGGGGAAGGTTCGCGGTGAATTGATCATGTGGCGATACAGTAACAACGCACAGCTATAACTCAGAGCATGAACAGCAGCAACATGATACACATCCCTCGAAAAGCTCAAGAAGCGTATATTTTCCCAGTGCCTATATGTACTGTTCGATCATTGAGTAGGCACGTCGCGCGTTGTGCGATTATCAAGCGGCATCTCGCCAAACCAGCTCCCTTTTTGGGGTGTTGCCAAAGCCTTCCGCATAACAAGGTCTGCCATCAAGAGGGCAGTACCCTGTTCAGTCGGTGGACGCCACCCTCCTAAGAACGGCACCTTCCTCAGATGGATCCTCGAGTATGCCGTGTCGCAGTCTGGTTGCATAGGTATGCTAAGCATTATCTGACTTGGCCTCGACGTCTCATGTCCTCCTTTTGATACTAAGCGGGTTGATATCACCGTTGTTTCTCCAGCACGTCGATTTGCGCGAGGATCACATCCTTGCACCACGGGAGCGGATTTTTTGTCATGGCGCTGTACACATTCTTAAGGTACTGCTCTGTTGAGAGCCCGTCGGTGCATATAGTAGGGATCATGCCATGACTGGCGACGTGTGTAGCGAACAAGAGACGTGATGTTCGGCCGTTGCCATCTGGGAACGGGTGGACGCTGACGTAGTACAGAATGTCCCATACACCCTTTATCAGAGGATGTATGTCCTCTTGGTCGTGCGCAGCGAACTTTGACCACCGCTCCAGATTCGCTTCCACTTCGCCTGGATAAGGGAATATGGCCTTTGGGTTCGACTGAACCTGGACTGGCATGTGGCGGATTAAGCCAGCCTTGAACGGCATTTGCATGCCCCGAAACAGTATCCTTGATATCATCCGTATGTCCTCTAGGAGGTTCTCTGGGGTTGATGCTCGCTCGATATAGGTACTCGATAGTACAGCCTGTAGTGCAACAATGTTGTTGCGCAGTTCGAGATACTCTATCTCCTTGGACTCCTCGCCGTTGTCGAGTTTCATCAACTCGCTCGAGGATGGAAGCCGTAAATTCATCGCGTTGAGCAACGCGCTTCCACCGTCTTTTTGCAATGGTATGGCCGCTTCGACATTCTTTGCGGTCGCTAGCGATAGGCTGTTGTGTTCTATGGCGCAGCTTCTCCAAGAAAAATTGGCAAGTACGTTACTACAAAACATTGTAGTATCTTGCAAGATCTTTGATGGTGATGTGTCCTGAGCTCTTAGCTGGAAATCTTTTCGCAGCGTATCCAAGTATGCAAGCTCTCGACGCATTTGGTGTTGCGCATCTCTCCAGGGTGCTGCATTTCGTATCTGGTAGATCTTGTCCCATACTGTTCCGGAACGGGCTAGCGTATTCCACTCCGGTCCATCTTCAAGAAGACCGTCGAATTGCGCATAATGCTTTCTGAGGAGGGTGTTTCGCGCGCGGATGATTTCTTTCGTCCACTTCATGTTGTTTGCGTTGCTGATTTTCTGTTTGTGTTGATGTTCTGAAGTTTGGTGTAGGTTAACAGAATCTTTTCGGAGGTTTAGGGTTGCTAGTAGCTGCACTTCTATGGTACTGGCCCCTACTTCCATGGTACTCTCTCTGACTTCCATAGTACTTGTACCCACTCAACCATAGCATAGCAGCGGCGAAGGTCCCAAATCCAGCATCACTCGCACTCGCCATACTATTGTAGTATCTTACAGTATCGTTGATAGTAATTAGTCCTTAGTACTTAGCTGGGCTTTCTCCGGAGTGTATACAAATGTGCGAGCTCTTGATACATTTCATGTTGTGCACGTCATCCTAGGAAAAAGCTAAACAGGTCTGCAGCCTACATTAACGTAGAAACCTACTTTGTAGGTGGCCTAACGTTGATGTAGGCTCTAGGCCTGCTCAGTCTTTTCCTTGTATAAGGTGTGTGCATCTTTCTAGAGTGATGCATTTCTCCCACAGCCTGCATTAGAGGATATCATCTGAGCCAGCCCACGCGCACAGATTGTAAGAGGCCAATACAAGACGCCGACCTTCCTTATTCATGGCACGAGCGATGACTTGATCCCATGGGGAGCAGTCGCAAGGCACGTGCGAGGCGCTCGTAATGAAAGATGTGTTCCCTGGCCTTGCTATCGTCGAGGGTGCGCCGCATATCTGCGACCTCAGTAGCAATCCCGAATCGGAAGGGTGGAAGGCTGTGTTGAAAGGCTACGATTTCATTTCTGCCGCGATAGACCAACCCAGTTCTGCTGCTGCCGGGTGTTCCATCTGATCGGGTTCTTTCGGTTGCGATAGCCCTTGTTCAAGAGGCTTTCAAGGTAGACGGTGTAGTGTGGATTCGGAACTCGTGGGTGGCTCATTCGCGACGGGATAATTCGGTATCAAGGATAATTTTGACTTTGAGAGAGCGCGCAAGCGACGACTGTGGCTGCTGGTAGTATGTGTATATGCGAGGCTGCTGGAGTGTGGGCTGGCCATCTCCAAGGCCCCTGGAAAAGCGCGGGGCTGGGCAGGGTCCAATTATGCGCTAACGACATCTGCTCGACGCCCGCGTCGTTGTTCCCTGTGTGCCTGCTCCTCTACGCACCATGTGCCGCCCTCTACACACCATGTGCCGCAAAAGCACTGCGCCCACCAGAACTCGACTCATCCAGCTAATTTGAAGTAGCCATCGACAACATGTGGCGCTTTACACGTTGCCACGTTCGCTTGCGTACTGCTCCTTCTCTTCGCGCAACCAAATCGCTGCCAGGAGATTGCATTTGGCAGTCATGCGACTGAATGGCGGTCGAACTCTTCCATACATACACAGCTATCGCCTGTGATTGCGACATATACACACGTCATCCATACTATACCCGCACCGCCGTTCGAGTCCCAGCCTCCCTTCGCTTATAGCCTGTCTCTTTTCCGTCGTACAGTGTTGCAAAAACCTACCGAACCCCATGAAACCGTTGCCTTCCTGCCGCCTTCGCTCTCTGCTCGTATAGCAGAATAGAAGACAAGCCACGGAGATTTTACGATGACAGGTTCATGGAACTCTAGCCTGTTGTAGAGTTCTGGCAAGACGTGCACGTATCGCATTTGAGGGGTACCCACTCAAGTAAGAACGCATTCCGCAATACTTTTGATCGACACCGAGACATGGCATGACGGTCTCTTTACTCAGGAACGACAGAGTGGACCGAATAATATGGTAGTAATAGAGAGTACAACCGCAGCGCTGACATCATCTCACTTACAGGAATGGTGGGGCCGAATCGTTGGCAGGCCCCCAAATCAGCCGGATTACCTGCTGCGCCGCTGTGTCTGATACCAGATTCAGCCTTGAGAGAACCTCTGCAATCCGTCCTAAATCTTCCCTTCCCACCTCAGCAGCTATCTTCGAAGCGACTAGAGATACCGAGATATCAATCTACCGTAAACAATGGACCAGTATACGGACTCTTCGTCCCAGGAGATCCCAGTGAGCGGACACGTAATCGAAAGAAATGAGCCTCATGAACCAAACGAGGCTGCGACGAGATCGCAAATTGAGTCCCGCTGCTCAGGCTTCAACGTGAGCCCAGTGCTTCGATCAAGTCTCGACTCAATCTCGGCTCCCAATCCATCTTCACTCTCATACGCAGCGTTGGAGTCGTCGGAAAGGCCAGCTTCTTCCGACCACACTAGAAGTTTCATTGAGCATTCGCCTGTCTCTCTGCTTGGTGGACGCCCGAGGTGGAAATGGACATGGATAACGCCTGTCACAATACTAGGCTTCTACTTCATATGTAAGTATGATAAGTAGCGTTGTACATCTAATGGTTTTTCATGCTAACAGCATCTAACCAGCGTTCATTTGTGCAGCAACGCACTACTGCCTTTTCGCATATCTCGATGGTCGTATCATCTTCCCAGGCTCTATGCCCTCCGCAAAGACCACTACGATCCCACAAGCCTACGCTACTACGGTATCGCTAGTACTAGTTACCGCGTTTCGTGCTGCATTAGTAGCAAGCATTGGGACATGCTATACGCAATACCTTTGGGCAACGTTCAGGAAGCGTGCGCTCAAGGTACGATGCTTCTCAGTCTGGCTAGCGGGATGGAAGCTTACAATGCGTAGATCAGCCTGATCGAAGACCTTTTTCAAGTGCAGACAAACCCGCTCCGTCTTTTCAACTACCACTTGTACTTCAAAACGCCAATGCTTGTCGCTGTAGCTATGTTTTGCTGGCTTGTACCTCTTGCAACATTGTACCCTCCAGGCACTCTAGTTGTCGGACTACAACCGGCTCCAATCGATCAAAGCTTCAATGTGTCCGTCTTTCATCACAGGACTTTCCAAGACATTGCGGACTTCAATGTTATAGCCTTCATACAATGTGATTACACCACAGACGGTGTATACCATTCGAATCCTCCGACATTCCCGGAAGCGGTACAGGATCCGTCGTTGCTAGAAAGTTGTTATTCAGAAAGGTCAGTCCATATCGTTCCGACCAAACCACAGCGTTGCTAAGGTTATATCTGGTGTATGCTGATTTCCCCACAGGATAACCCCTGGTATGGATTATATCATACGCTCAAACCTCATCGTAGGCGAGATATCGAGGCTGAAGCAATCAAGCAGAGAGAACACATCGTATGAACTTAATTTTCTGGGCACCACACTAGATTGCGAGACTACGAACCGCACCATGGAAAGCACAATTACGCAAATAGGCTTAAACGAATTTCCTTCCGATCATCCGGAGATGGTTTGGCAGATAGAGCACTCTGAACCCAGTTGCGAGGTGAAAAACAACGGATTTTGGGGCCATTTCCCTGGGAATAAATCGATCACCCACCGTGTCGGCCACTATGAAGAAAAGCCACGGTATTGGCCATGTTTGGACAAAGACAGTTGGAAGCCCATTATAGATGATTCGTTTCCTGCATTCGGACAAAACTTCAGTTTTCCGGGCTCTGGCATACATGTCATTGTACCTATAACCGAAACAGTGTGTCAGCCCAAGATAGTGCGATATTACGTCACCATATCACACGCTGGCGGAGCACAGCATATCTCTTATGTGATTGGGGACGAGGAATCTGTACCGGAATATGAGAAAGATTTCGACAGCTTCAACGGAAGTTTTGAGCAATGGTCTCAGCTTTCAGACACTATATTGATTTACCAATATTACGCACAGAACCTCGATCGGTCTGGAACCACTGCCATAGGGAGCACATTTGAGTATCCCAGCATGTCGAACAATTCAAAGTCTTACACAACTAGAGATGGTAAAGTCGTGGAAACATGCGTGCTCGACGGGGAGCCCTTTGAGAAAGACATTTCTGAACCAAGTGAGATCTGGCCACTTAGTGTTTTTGAGCAACGACTTCATGAAAGCGGGAAAACTTATTACTGTCCAGCATTTGATCCCGACATGGCCAACGAGCTCCTCATCAACACTACCATCTCAGCACTGGCCCTAAACGAGCGCTTCGACACTGTCAACGGAACGGAGACCCGCACTTTCAACGTCTACCGCTTCGAGAACAAACTCGCTTTCTTCCTACCGTACGGTCTCTCACTCGCCCTAGCAATACCAATCCTAGTGCTAGGACTCATAGCTCTCTACGTCCAAAACCATGGCGTTTCGGCTATCAGTGGAGGTTTCATGCAGCTTCTTATGACGACTACTGGACGCGGTTCACTCGAAGCAGCAATCACGAGAGGCTCTGGCACGCTAGGTGGATACGAAAACGTTTCGGAAGAGCTGCGTGGGATGGAGGTTAGGTTTGGAGAACTCGTTGATCTTAGTGGGGATGAAGTTAAGGAGACTGACACGCTTCTGAGCGGGCGTGATGGGCTTGTTAGTGCGCAGGATGATGATAGTTCGCAGTCAGGTGTGCAAACTGCGTCTGGAACGGAACGCTTCGAGGACAGCGTTTCTGTGGTGCGAAGGGCTGGCTTTGGCACGGTTGATGAAGTGGTACCATTCATGAAGGAGGACGCAGAACAGTAGTTGGAAGCATTCGTGCTCTAGGAAGCTACGGGGGGAAGAAAAGTGACGGTTTTGCATTGATCAAGGTTATCTGGACACTTGCAATGCTGATGGTTCAGCTCTGACGGTGATGGTGACGTACACCGGAAGTGAATCCGGTTAAAATTGAATCGCTTTACCCTCCGTAAAGCGGCATGTTGTGTAGCGCATCGCATTCGTGAGAACTCCGAAGGTGTTGTGATGATGAGCAAAAAGAGAGCAACAAGAAGCAAAAGCAAAACATACGATAGCGCCCTCAGTGCAATGCTCGCATAGGGCTGAGTGGACGCAGATTCGAGCCTCAAGATCGAACAATACATACCATGTTCGGCCCATCTCTCTTTCGGGATTTCTATTCGTATCAGCCAATACGAATGATGGCGTCACGGCGCTAATCTCGGTGTTATGTCGACCGTGCTCACCGGCGGTAAGATTAAGTCTCTCTTCGGTATTGTCTACGGACCGTTTCCAAGCTTACACACCGAGCCAGGGGGAAGGTTGTATTGATTGTTCCTCTCGTTCGCTCTTTCTTCTTTGTAAACTTTGTTTTACACATCGAACCTTGGATTCATCGCCTAGCTCGACAATGCAGACGCGCAAAAACCAACAGGTAGCTTTTGCGGCAGTCGCATTCCTTTCTGCCTTTGCATCCAGCTCGCCAGCACAACCACTCTCGCGTCGCGATGTAGCTTCCCTATCCGACGTGCATGCTCTAGCACTCCAAGAGCGTGGTATTCCTGTCGTCGACTCAACGGTCCCCCTAAGGCTGCGTTCCGGCGCTGGCAGACAACTTGCGAAACGCCAAAGCGGTGGACCATTACGCACCATCTATGACGGAGCGCAATACGCGATTGACGTGACCATTGGCACGGAGACGCTTCAGGTTTTGATCGACACTGGAAGCAGCAGTTTTTGGGTACCAAAGGCCGATTTCGTGTGTGTAGACGTAAACGGCACGCAACAGTAAGTCCAACGCATTACCCAACTCTCATCTGGTACCTTGAATCTGATATTGAACTTTCCTCGTTGTAGATCTCAGCCCACTTGCGGATTTCCAAAATTCGGCCCCAAAAGCTTTTCTGGCGGCCAAATCGCGAACCAGAACTTTAACGTGACATATGGCGGAGGGGAGTTTGCGACTGGCATTGTGGGTCTCGAAGACGTCGGCTTTGGTGGTGTGACAGTCAAGAATCAGAAGATGTCGTTCGTGGATAGAACCTACTGGCTGAGCGCAGGCAATCTGACTAGTGGACTTATGGGTACGTAACGCATTTTGTATGTTTTGAGTGTTTGTTAACGAGAGTAGGCTGGGGACTCGGTGCCACCACCGCCATCTTCGAGGGCGCGGATCCGTCCCAAGACGGCGGAAAAAAGCCTATCTTCGTCAAACCATGGCTGGAGACCGCCTATGACCAAGGCTTGGTGGCAAAGCCCATCTTCTCGGTCGTACTCGGTAAGAGGGGCAAAGACGATGCGGACTTGTCAGCTACAGGTTTCCTTACGATAGGAGGAGCGCCATCGTCATCGTCGTTGCCGCTCACGGGTGCCTACGCTAACACGCCAATCCTCAAAGAGACGTTTGATCACTACCAACTGGAGAACGAGTATGTCCACTATGTCATCCGACCGGACGGATTTGTGGTCAACGGAAAGTTCATCGCCTGGGCCCCAGGCACCTCCGCGGGCACTCATTACGGAGACAGTCAAGAAAGATTCACGATCCTGGACACCGGTACGGCTTACACCATGGCCCCGAAGGCCCTTGTATCCACAATCGCCGCAGCCTTCGACCCCCCAGCTTCCTTCAGTCAGGATGACGGGCTTTGGGTGGCTTCGTGCAATGCGAAGATACCTTCTGTCGCCATTCGCGTCAACGGAACGGACCTTCCTTACGCCTCATCAGACGTTCTCGTCGACGGAACCCTTGGCGTGATCGACGAGGAGAAGCAGACATGCATAGTGGGTTTCATGGAACCATCTACTCCGCCCTGGGGTGGCGACCTGCCGTATATCCTCGGAGCCAACTTCCACAGGAATGTGCTAGCTGTACACGATATTGGAAACAAGGTAATGACGTTTGGTGCGCTGAAGTGGAACTGATGCCGGGTTCATTGCGGCTCTCATAGCATACACTAGATTACATGACGATAGAAAATACCTTCACATCTGTCATGCACGGCAATATACCGTAGCTCTCTAGAGATCTGTCATGTTCGTTCGCGTAGTGTTCTTCGCCTTTGCATGTCATCATCATGGCCAGCCGTTCCAACATGACCCATCATTGTCAGGCCAGAAGAGTACGCCGACAAATGGATGCTGAACTGTGCTAGCTTGGTCCTCGCAACGTAGCAACGTACCTCACAGATAAGCACATCACACAGCTAGACGTATCACTTAATTTATTTTGTCTTAGACTTGTTGATAGGCATAGCTAGGGTAGGGTCGCCTACGCAAAGACTACCGCAGCAAGACAGAGAGCTCCAGGGAGACCCTGGATAAAGAAAATCTTGGTATTTGCCGTACACCCTCCATAAACACCTGCCACAAATACACAACCCGCGAAGAACAGAGCGATTTGGGGCGCAAACACGGCGCTGGGGTGGACCAGAGACCACAAGAGGCCAGCTGCCAGAAATCCGTTGTACAGGCCTTGGTTGGCGGCCATGGTCTTGGTTTTGGCCGCAAAGTCAGGCTTGAGTGCAAACGCTTTCAACCCTGCTGGTGAGGTCCACAGGAACATCTCCAAGGCCATGATGTAGACATGGAGGGCAGCTAGTAGAAAGACGGTAATAGAGGCGAGGAGCGGCATTGTAGGCGCAGATCGAGGGTTAGATGCGGTACCAACTCTAAGAGATGATGATTTGTGGATGTGGTCGAGTGTGGTGAGGAGGGGGACTTGAGGTGAATAAATAGCTGGAGGCCACTTCGGCTTTACTTGAAAAACGCTAGTCTGAATACGTTGCAGGAATGCTAGCGATACGGGCAAATTCCTTCCTATAATACCGAAGATTCTCACATTCCCGCGAGAATACGAGATCAAGCGATGAAAGTGTAGACCCCAGGGTATTCAGTTCTTCCCAAAGTTGACATGCCCCGGGAAAAGCTATTGCGCAGATAGTTCTTAAAGCTAGGTGTTAGTTTTGTGGAGGCGGAGAGGCAAGGTTCCCAATGGTTGAGCTGGTGGCGTTCAGGCGGGCAGCCGTGGGCGCCGGCTGTTGCCTAGCCTCCCTGCACAGCCCTAGCTGACTGCGTTCATCACCGCCCCGCGTCATAAAGCGACAACCACGTTGGATGTCATCTCCTGTTCTTCTTCGCATAACATCACTTTCACCACTAATCTTCCCTTTGCATTCGATTGTTCATTTTCTTAAATGCTACCTGAAGTACTGACAGCAAGGTTATATCGACATCATGCGTCTATTACGGATGAATGAAGATGGAGACGTTAGCCTTGAAGACCATCCGGAAAAGACTGAGCCGTACGCAATACTTTCGCATAGATGGGGGGAAGACCATGAAGAGGTCAACTTCAAAGATGTGATAGAGCACACATACAGGCACAAGAGAGGATACGCAAAAATCCTTGGCTGCGGAGAACAAGCAAAGCTGGATAACCACCAGCTCTTCTGGATTGATACCTGTTGCATCGACAAAAGTAGCAGTGCAGAGCTTTCCGAGTCGATTAACTCCATGTGGCGTTGGTACTGCAACTCTCAAGTCTGTTACGTCTACCTAGATGATGTCTGTGCAGGCATTGATGAGGCTGAAAAGGATACTGCATTCACCAAATCAAAATGGTTCACGCGAGGTTGGACACTTCAAGAGCTACTAGCACCCCGGAGACTTGAGTTCTACGACGCCGAGTGGAACAAGATCGGGACGAAAGAGGAGCTAGCAGAAAAGATCAGCGAGATCACGAACATCAACAAAGACTTCCTTGGCTCAGATATCTCCTTACTTAAGCAAGCGAGCATTGCTGAAAGAATGTCGTGGGCCTCAAAAAGGAGGACAAAACGAAAAGAAGACAGGGCTTATAGCTTGCTCGGAATCTTCGACATCAACATGCCTCTACTTTACGGCGAAGGTGCAAAAGCCTTCCAGAGGCTACAAGAAGAGATCGTGAAGCACTCGGATGATCAGTCAATATTGGCTTGGACTTCACCGTCTGCTGAAATTGATAATGGCAGCTTTTTCGCCCATTCGCCAGCTGCATTTGCCGCTTGTGACAATGTCATACGAAGCATTCAACCAGGTCCGATGAAGCCGTATTTCATAACAAATAAAGGCCTCAAGATCAGTCTACCACTCATCAGAGGAGGCAGTGAGGGCGAACTCCTCGCGGTCCTCAATTGCAGACGCCGGTATGACACATTCGGTAGTTTGGCACTTTCGGTAAAGCAGACGGGCAACAACCACCTATATCAGAGGCGAGGTGGCGAACTACAGTTCGTTCCTTTTACCGATTTGCTTCTTGCAAAAGTGCAGCCAATGTACATCAGCATGAAGCCGCTTCTTGACTACTCGCCAAACTACCTGAAGGACAATACCTGTATTCTGAGCGCGCTACCGAAAGGCCTCGAAGTATCACAAATATTCCCCTCGGGTTCATGGCCTCGTGGATCGCGTACCTTTGAAGGAAATCGACATCCAGGCTCCCCGCAAGACCCGGTCAACCGAACCCTTGTGCTGCTCAGCTCGGGAACAACTCGTCGCTACCTGTTCATGACATTCTTCCACAAGGACAGGATCTTTCGTGACTGCATTTGGGATGCCCGGATTCTGCCTGTTTCCCTTGATGACAGCTCCGATATCGAACAGATCTTCAATGCATGGGTCTATAAAGATTTGTCAACTCTGCAACGAGTTCACCATCTATCTTGTGGTACAGTAGCTCTTCGAACGGTACCACAGCTCATTCAAGGCCGAAAAGTCACAATGATCGAAATCTTTTATCATGGTCCAGATACCTGGATCGTTCTCTATGAGATCACTGAACAAGCTATCGCGGTCCTTCAATCAACTGGATACCGCATCACTCGCGTCCCTTACTGGACATTTCATCTGCTATTCGGGGGCTCAAACCTCCTCGATGCTATGTATGAACCAACGCCGATGCTTTTAGCGTACCTCACATCCTCATCACCAAGGGAAAACCATGTCCAAAGACCGTCCATAACGTTAAGGTGGTATCATTTCCTTGCTCTTCTGTACTACGTCTTGTTGAGGTGGACCAAATTACGCAAGGTTCAGCAGCTCTCACTAGAAGAAGGGGTAGTGTTAGGCTGGCAGAATGTTCGAAACTTTGATGCAATAATCGGTTACTGTGCTATTTTACTGTTGTTTGTATTTCTACCTTTTAGTCTTCTTGACCGCTATTTTGCTCATAGTTTTGACTCTATGGGGTATGTAATTGGAGTTCTGTTGACGCCTGCCCTTTTACGGGCTATACATCAGTTGTATATCCTTAGATTAATATAAGAGCTAGTGTTTTATAAGGTTTTCTCAAAGCGGAGTATTCGGTTGTCTTTATGCGTATTACCATTACTGACGTGTTACGATAACAGGTTTCACTCTGTATATTTGCAAGCCCACATTGTCATTGGAGATGCTGGAAACAACGTTCCCACAAGTGTTATCCCCGAACAGTCAACTGCAAGGACAAAGGATCTTCAAACCCCAATTGCATCAATGGTTTCAACAGTTGGAAACACGTATTCGCCATTAGTGAAGGCCTCTGCTGGTGAGTAGAACCGTACTGAGTACAGAAGCTTACCACCACCCGCTGGGGCAGGAAGCCAGCTGTACCAAAAGTCTCTAGTCAGCCCATGTCTTGTCGCATGGATCGATTTGCATGGTGGGAAACTCACTTGCTAGTCCAGTTATCCGGTGGTGGAATATCAGCAGGTTGCAGTAGGACCTGAAATCTCCCATCCGGAGTCTCGTTCGTGGGATTCGTTCCATCATCACCATACACTAAGCCTCCATCCTCGTACTTCAGCTGCGTGCTTCGGTCGCCGATGACGTATCTACCCAGCTCATTGGGCACTAGATACTGGTCCGCTCCATACACGGTCAAACTCCAGAACCCGGTCGACTTGATCGGGGGCTTGCCAAAGAAGGTGAAGAGAAAGGCCGACGTCGGGCTCAAAATCAAATTGTCGGATTTGTTTGTGATGAAGAGGTTTTCGGACTGTACCAGGCCCAGATAACCGCGGAGTGCGCGGTATGCACGACAGCCGTATTCAACGCCGAAGATGCCTTGGCAATTTACTTTGGGGATTACCCAGTTGTTGCCGACATCGATTAGGTTTTGGGAGTAAGCTGCTGAGATACTGGCGTTCGCTGCAATAATCGCGGCAGTCAGGTTGACCGTGCGAGGTGGAGAGTAGATCCCATCTGCGATGCCAGCAAGCCCAAGTTTGGACGCTACTTGGTACCGGTCTGAGATTACGTCAGGTTGGTTGAACTGCCCAATCTTGGCCAGCAGTTCTAGGTAGCCCGTGACTCTGTCGGTGGCGTTCGAAGTGTCAATGAGATCGCGCGACAGTCTAGGTGCTTGTGCTGTGAAAGGCTGAGATATATTGCGAAGAGTTGTTTTGAGGAATGTCTGATCTTGATAGCTGCGTATAGTCGCAATATCTTCCGTGGTGTTTTGACGGACGAGTATACGACCAAGCATTATACCATAGGTTGTAGCATAAGATATCACGCCTTCGTAGCGGGATGATTCGGTCGGAGTAGTGTATTCAATCCCTGGTTGAACGAGAGCATCGTCTGCACGTCTAATCAAATAGTCCCCCGGTGGTGAGTTCTCGTTGATTGATAGCCCAGCAAAATTGTTGCCATAACTGGGATCAGTCAGTCTCTGTCATACACTGTCATTCTTCAATGAAGCTTACATGTCATAGAAGGGCCATATCCAGTTTCTTCCATCGCTGATATTGGGAATGGTTAAGACGAGGTCTTCATGCGATAAGTCGATAGCCACCCAGATATACAGCGTGTCTGCATTCGGGCCGACTATCGTGCGATTTAGAGGGCCGGAAAGTGTATGATACGGCCATAGAGTATTTGGTCTATCGACAGCATCCAAGATGTTCGTCACAGCTTGTTGCCATTGAGATATTGGATATGCATACTGGACTAGCGTTAAGCGAGATGCAGCATGTTGTTTGTAGTTCGTCAGGTACCTGGATTGCAAATGATGTGGCGTCCTGGGCAGCACCCGCATGGGAAATTGCTTCGTTCGCCGCTCTGGCAAGTGGAGCAAGGTATGCCAAGCATGTAGCGGTAGCGAGAAGAAGACTGGTCAACTTCATCTTTTCTAGCATTACCTCAATCATCTTTCTCAAGACGACATTACCCCGACGTACTATATATCAGGTCTGACTGTTATCGCGTAGCAGAGCCTGCGACTTGGCATCATTGCGCAATAATTGACAAGATTGACGATGAGGCTGATAGGCGGGGCGGTGGTAGCTACGGTTAAAGGGCGGAGCTGTAGTAAAAGACCGAGACGGCAGCACGTGAAAACGACAACACCTTACCGTCAGCCTTGAAGCTCTTACTACCATTGCGACCCAAGAATGTTGATTCAATTTCACCGCCAAACAAGTATTCCAGCACATAACGTGTTCGCATAGCCAGAGAGGTTGAGCTAATGGTGTACGAGGCTAACGCAGACGGTGCAGGTGGGGCAGCTGTGAGCGCCGCTTGTTGCTTAGCCCCGCGCCGCGCATGGCCCTGCCTGACAGCGACCATGAAGCAACAACCACGTCAGCTATCGCCAGTTTCTCCTAGCGCGCTATCAGTTCCACTTCAGGTCCTCCACGCATGGCCCAATATAGCTAGAATTGAGTAGAACGGAATAAACAAATACGTAGATCGAATTAAGCCTGGTTTAGGTGTAGAGAAGTTATCGGGGGGACCTGAGCAGCACTCGGCCGTAACAACACTCGTGCCGAACACGGCCGGGATAATAGTTTTCCGCCATGGAAGCATTGCTAATATCATACTGATCCACCAACAGTAGTAACAGTTCCTGCGCACCAGCTTGCGCCTCGTATAAGATGGCTACTTTTGCAGAACCCTCAGATACCAGCACTCGGCTCCGCCACAACAACGCTTTTCAGAACCAGACACATCTCCTACCATCTCGACCATAGCTATGATCGCTGTTCTCAAAGCTCTTCTCCTGACGAGTAGTCTGATACTTGCGTCAGGGGCAGTACCATCACAACAAAGCCGCGCACAGGTACGGGTTCAAAGCAATACGTTTTTGGAAGGACAATACTCACACTCGATCAGAATCTGACATGTCAGTTCAACGTGGGTCTTGATACCGTAAGTTTACCAGCACCAAGCTTTCTCAAATGATACTGACACGCTGACTTGCATTAGTCGGATGTTGCAAACACCAGCTATGTGCGCATGATGAAGAACGTCAAGCTTCCTGTTTCCGGAATGACATACCGCTACGCCATTAATCCCCCATTCGACAAGGAAAAGCCATACTTCTTGTTCCTTCACGGCTTCCCAGATACTTCGTATGGTTGGGTAAACCAGATCGAATACTTTACGAGGCGCGGCTACGGCATCATAGCCCCAGACCTTCTAGGTACCGGTGGTACAGACAAGCCCGTCGAGCTGGAAGCTTATAGTCTGAAGACAATGGCCTCTGACATTGCTGAACTGCTCGACTGCGAAGGTCTCGACAAGGTCATCGCGGTGTCGCATGACCTGTAAGTCCGATAATGCCACATGTTATCTTGTTTCTAGACCGCTAGACTAACGTGCCTTAGCGGAGCTTATGTACTCTCGCGCTTTCACACGTACCAGTCTCAGTACCTCTCAGCTCTTGCATTTCTGGATATTGGCTACAACTCCCCCGGCACAGACGTCAACCAAACCTTCGTCGAAGCTTACAACAACATCTCTCAAGCAACATTCGGCTACCCCATTCTCGGGTACTGGTACTTCTTCGATGAAGATGACGCGCACGTCCTTTTGGATGCACACGTACGTTCAACATTATTACCGATCATGAGCTCAAACTTACAATAGTACAGTTGGATTCTCTATACTCTCTCGCGTACTCGTTCAATGCACCGAAAGTAATGGCGGAGAATTTCAACCCGGTTGGTGCACTTCAAGAATGGCTCGCAGCTGATAGAAGAGCGGAATACGGCAATGAATTCATCACCAATTCGACTCGGAAGCAATGGAAATCCATCGTTCGCGCCCAGGGAGGCGTTGAGGCAAATCTGAAGTGGTACAAATCTTACCTGCGGGGTGTCAACTCGGCTGACGAGGACGGTAAGACGGATTCCAGATGCCCGCTTTGTTGTTTCACATGATCTAATGCTGCGCAGAGATTCGATCGATGTCGGGAGTCATTGAGCAGCCTAGTCTGTTCATCGCGGCCGAAAGGGATTCGGTCGGTATTCCGTCAGAGCAGTTACGTTCCACGCTGCCATACGCTCCGGGAATGCAGATTAGAACTGTGGATGCTGGCCATTTTCTCCATATTGAGCGGGCTGATGAAGTCAATGAGGCACTCTACGACTTTGTCCAGGGCCTTCAATAGGTGCACAACAAGGTAGCAAACTAGATCAGCGAAAGGCTGGGTGATTTGCCCCTCTTCTTCTTCTTCTTTGAGATGTTGTGCTTAGTATAGTTGTTGTAATGGAAAGAGATTGTTTGGTGATAACCCTTCTTCTCTGTGTGAGCACATATACTTGCGGTTCTCATCATTCGAGCAACTCTTCGCGTTCGGTTTGCTAAGAGTTGTAAAAGATTTAAGCATTTCAGTCGCTTTACGTCATCGCGGTGTTCATGAAGTCAATAGCTTAAGTATGGCATCGCACTTAAATTGCGTCAAAGGGAGCTGTTCCCATAAGTGTCTTCTCGGATAGATGATCTAGCCTAGGAACGAGGGTGCGCAATGTTTATGGTTCGTTCATGACTATCCGGACCGACAGTGCCTGGTTGACGTGAGATTACGCGGTGATCAAAGACTAGAGATGGGTAAAATGAAGAACTTTGGTAAGGTAATTTCATTTCGAATACGAATGCGTAATTAATTCAACGAACAGATCAATCAAAAAGAAGACACGCTCCAAAGAGGACTTCTGAACAACAACTAGGCTACGCTTGCAGCATCGTTCTTTGCCATCTGTTCCAAGTGATCACAAAGCCCCCTCACCCGTTGCTCAATACTGGTATTGAAAGCTGCGGCCTTCTCAGGATCCCTAGGCGGCGAACCCATGACGGGAAAGTCAAGACGAGACTTTGCACACCATTCACTCACCTTAGGCTCCGCCATCCACTTGAGTCTGTTCTTCATAGAAGCCAGAAGGGTCGTAGGATATTCCGCCGGTATGCGAGTGTACGGAAAAGGGTCGCAAAGAGAGTTCTTGAGGTCTTCGTCGTCGTAACTGGCTTCGACGTGTCCAATGAGAGCGGCGCTGAACGTGGGCTGGAAGAACTTTACATTTTGAATCGTTATGTTTCTGCCATTGAAGACGGGAATAGGTGGCACGTTTCCTAGACCAGGCGCAGTACAGTCGATGAAGAGAGTGTCAGGCACAGGAGTGTATGTGCCCTTCTCTAAAGTGACCTTGTCTGGGTCAATGCGCTTGACTCGTCCCTGGCGTATGATGTTCTTGACTTTCTTGACCTCGTCAAACTCCGCCTTTGTCACAATCGCATGTCTGAACATGGTCGGCTCGACGCTCTTGTCTAGGCGGTACGCATGCCCGAGCTCCTCCATGCGATGGAACATCTCTTGAGATGTTTTGGACTCCATGATGGCAGCGGATCTTTCTTCCTGCAATTGTTCCAGGTTGGGCGTCGTCTCTGGAGGTTGAAGGGTGGCGCGGTCCAGAAACCAGGAGTCGCGCGGCATAATCCAAGAAATCTTCTTCGGGTCAATGCCTTGAGCTAAGAGCCACGAGCATGCGTCGACTGCGGTCTTCCCGGCTCCGATGATTGTATACCCACCGTAAGGTCGCTTCAGTGATGTTGCTAAAGCGTTGGGCGTGACAAGGTTGGCTCTGTCTGAAACCTCATACGAAGGTGGACCCATAGAGGGAACCGTGACCTTCACGTATGTGGAGTCTACAATGCGAGTGTCTGGTCCAACCTTGATGGTTTTCCCTGTGGCAATCGATTGAAACTCTCCATCGCCAGTGTAGTTGTGCAGTGGGTAATAGGTAACGCGACCGGACGGAAGGAGAGTACTGTTCAGGACCTTGGTGTAATAGGCAACAATCTCGTCGCCCGTTGCCACCGCGGCAAGGCCCTTGTTGAATCCAACTTGGTCGATTTGCTCATCTCCGAGCTTTCGAGAGTTGACACCGTAGACGTGGGACGGTTGGTGAAGGGTGACAAAGGGGTAGGCAACTGTCCAGTGACCTCCCGGACGGGAATAGCGGTCGACAATGGCCACCGTGGTTTGCTTCTTATCGGAGATCAGGGTATCAACGAAGGCCATGCCCATAGCACCCGCGCCGATGACAAGGTAGTCGACGGATATAGTCTCGGTCATGTTGATCGGTTTTGTGGTAGGTTTGCAGGTTGGAAGAGTCCTGGAGGAGATTGCTTGTATGTTCGCGACGAAGTGATGAAAGTTTGGTGTAGCAAGAAGAGAGAAGAGAAAGCAGATTCATATACCTAGGCACATACCTTGCCCGACCGGAACGCGTGTACTGGATTCTTCAATAGGGTTCAACATACCGCTCCTTCGGCATCATTATTTCGATGTCAATATTAACCGTAGTCCATGATAACTTGACTTGTCCTTGGATGTTTCCTGTACATTGCGGCCGAGCCTGTTGTTGTGACAAAGTTGCTCCGGTCGGTCGGAAGCTCCCGAGATCTAGTTTACGGACGTAAGCAACGGAGCCACACTATGATAGTCTAGCTTAAAATTGCCATCCTGCCAAGCAGTACTCGTGGCAAGCTTACGGACGTACAGGTACCTACTCAGCTTGGAAGCAAGCGCAAAAGCGTGGAGCTATTGTGTTCCGAGCTTTGGTATTTTGTGGTCATCCGAAAGACTTTACCTACACAGCACCATCTCCAGCATACGAAAAGGCAAGGCCTCACTGTTGGTCCTGAGATTCTTGATATCGATTCCCCTAGAAATAGTGGCCTAATCTAACGATAAAAGTATTATAGCACAGCTGATGTATGCCCATAGCTGGAGGTATAGATGTTCGAAGTAGCTTAGGTGTGGGCTCGTATCGCTGCGGGTTCGGCTTCGGCTCCGGGTGCTTGGGCTGGCGGTCCTTCTCCTTCTCATCCACCAGACCACGATTGCATACAAATGGGAGGTCGCTCGTTCAGTGTGCGTTATGGCTGAATTGTAGGGAAAAGAAAGGGCAACAAGAAGGATATTCAGAGAAGTGGACGTACCACCTTTGAACTAGTCTGGCGCGGCTGAACAACTATTGTGGTCTTATATGACAGGGCGGAGTATCGGTAGTCGCTGCACATTGCCTCTTCTGTCTTTGCAGCAACGCTTCGACTCCCGGGGTTCGCTAGTCTGATTTGCGTAATTCCATAATGTCTTCGCGCTGAATGTTCACATGAAGAAGAATCTCGCAGCGCTTGTTGCTTCCCCAACCGCCTGCCCTCATCCGCTCTGCCGGGACGAGGTGGCACCCGAGGCTGCATTCCGGGACCACGCCCACTGCATTCACGGCATACCGCCATTTGGACCGCCCTGGACAACAGGCAGGTGCAAAGCGCCTCAGCATGACGATAGGGAGGCAGATGATATGCAAAGCGCTCAGAATGCAGACAGAGAACATCATCAGACGCCGCGAAGCCGCTTGGTTTTGGGCAAGATGTTTTCATTGGACAGCGGCATGTAACGGAGGAAGCAGAACCGAAAACCGAGAACTGAAGGACAGATAGATGAGAAATGAGGACCGAAAACTGACTGGGAACAGTCGTCTGCATGACCATGCATTATATAGACAGTCCAAGAGTGGAGCTATGATATGTAGTGCTACTGTTATCCTATTGTACTGTAATTGCAATGCTTTGATGATCCATGGATAACCTCGGCAGCGAACCAAGTGATGTCACCATCGCGCCGCGATCCGAAGTCGCCGATACGCCGACGTGCCAAGCCAGTCAAGCGGTGCGCTCTCCCCGGTCTCGCCGCCCCTCCAGTAACGCCATCATAATCACCACCACACCATCATCATGGAAGCATTATCACGCAATCCCGAGCTGTTTCCGAATCTGCAATTCAACGCCAGCTCCAACTAAGGCTCCATGGCTCTGACGTCATTTCGCCAGAGGCTCTTTCCAAGGTTTCCAACATCCGTCGCTCTCTGCTAAAGATTCTAGCTATACTTGGCATTTTAAAGCAAGTCTTCTTTCTTAACTACTTACATCGTGAGGGTTGGATGTGCGCATCTGCTTTAGGTATGAGTCATCTGAGTATCGTGGCTAATAATTTGGATGATGTTATAAGCGGTGGTGGTGGGATTAGTAGCGCCTCTGTCTCCATCCATGGCACCAAAGCTTCGCGGAACTTAGATTGTGTCTGACTTGTACCTTTACATACATAGGGTAGAGAGAGTGGCTTGTGTAAGTTATACAGGCAACTATCTTGCGTGTATCAGCACGTCGGAAGCGGGCGCAGTTGAGATTAATTATATCAACGAAAGGGATATAGATGCGACGCCTTAAAATTACAGGAAGCGTGAGAGCGTTGCGGTGACTTGAAGGGTGCAAAGGCGCAAGGGTCGGAGGGCTGAAGTTCAGATGGACGGTCTAAATGGAGTAACTTAACGAGACTAGCTACGATTTAAGCTCGCTACCCGCACTGGATCCGACCTGGAACCTGAGTATCATGTGACCCTGAATGAAGCACTACCCTGTTCGCATTCTCATAGGCTGAGTTCCGAGTCTGACGTCGGCATATAGTCAAAAACTGCCTGTATGGGTGCTACAACATCGTCGAAAAACGTCTTGCGAAACACGACATATTCGAATGTATTTCGCGCTGGAGGACCCGGAAACAGAAACCTCAGGCATCGGTCCACTGCATATGCATACGACTCAGAGTCTAGCATGAGCTCCTCAATCTGTTCCTTAGCAATCTTGTAGTCTTCGATTGAAGATACAGCAGTGGCAGCGGCGTTCATGGAGTTGGCTCCGCGATATTCCTGTCTAAGCCTTCCAAAGGTTTTGCCGACGCCTAGCTCAATGAGGCGCATAGCGAGGCTATATAGAATGGGGCTTTGGATCTGGCTGGCTTGGAACTGATCAGCGGGCGCGGCTGTCTGTAAAGCTAGATCAGGATGTATGGCGGAACGCTGGAAATCGTACGAAAGGTACGGATGTTTGGAAATGTGTGGTAACGATAGTCCTTTCGCTTCTTCCAGAAACAAATGGATGTTTTCGCTGCTGAGAACTTCTTCAAGCCACGGCGAATCGCCCATATACAGAACAGCCCAAGTCAGCGCTGCAGCAATCCCGAACCTCTGCGTTCGACTCAGTTTGAGCTTGAGGTTTGTCGCTTGGTCCACTTCGCGGGATAAGAGAGCCTGGAGACCCACGGCTCTCTTCGTATCGGCTAAGCTGAAAGCTCCAGTGCCTTCGGAGTATACGATGCGTATCTGTTTGCACGGGCCAGAAGAGCCAGGGACTGGTATACATCTCGATTCGCCATCTTGCTGTGGCATCTGGAGCATTTCGCAAATCGTCGAGGCGGAAGATGTCGATGTAGGTCTATCAACAGGATCAGTTGTGATTGCCATCCGTGTTTGACTTCCTGGGGCTGAGAGGTGGTCAGTAAAACAAGTCTTATTTGTCGCTGCGGTTCTTACATGACACTAGTGTCGTTGACGAAGACCTTGATCTCGCATGGAATGTATTTGGTAGAAGCTCCAGAAATTTCACTCTACTCTTTTCTTGCGGTGGGATTGACGGGCTTGCATCAGGGTGAATATGAGAAGATTGAGGAACAGTTGCATCGCCTGCAACCATCTGAGGTCTCGTGGACTCCTCTACGCTGGCGGTGATCATATGCCACTTCATCTCAGAATGTGTATTATGTATTAACTTTACATTTAATATACTAGCACTAGACAAACTAGATAAACTAAATAATTAACTAAATAACCTATTACTTATAATAGCTACCTAGCTATTATAATACTTTTTTATATTTTTTATATAATAATTTTATAACTTACTAAAATAGCTAATATTTATATCTTTTAGTTTATATTTTTAAACTAACTATTTAAAATATTTTACTCTACTTAAGTAAGCTAAACGCTAAGTAGTTAAAGTTATTAAATAAAATTTAATACTACTACTTTCTTAGTAATTAAGAAGTTCTTAGCTACTTAGTTTACGCTTATAAACGTTAGCTATATTAGTATTCTTAGTATATATATTTATATACTTTAATACTTATTAAAAATAAAACTATACTTTTAAGTATTATATAACTACTTAGCGCGTAGCTAAGCTCTAAAAAAAGTACTACTTTTAAAAATAATAATAAGTTAGTAATAAGTAGCTTATAATTTTACTATCTTTTTAATTATAATAGTAAACTTTAAAAAAGCTAAAAGTTATAAAAAAATACTAAGTAGTAGTAATTTACTATTAAAAGTAAGCTAAGTATTTAAGTAAAAAGTAATTATATTAGTAGCTATAGTTATATATATATTATATTTAAAAAGTAGTACTTATAGTAGTTACTTTTTATATTTTTTTTTTTTTAACTTATATCTATATATAGTATTTTTATTTTATAGTTACTATTAACTTTATTTTATAGTACTATAGTAATATAAAGTAAAATAAGCTACTTATAACTTTTATAATATTAATAACTTTAATAAAAAGATACTCTTATAAATAAGAGAAATTACAAGTATAATACACTGTGTGTTGTGTATCTGGGATACTTGATTGCCCGATATTGCCATCTGAAACGAGGTCAACTTCAGAGGTTTGTCTTTGTGCCAGCTCAACTGGAAGTTCCCCTTATGGCCGTGGGAGCAAGCACACCCCAATGCGGTTTCGATGGCTTTGTGCAGTCCTTGGACGTTCTTCCTGATTGCTATCGTCATATCGGCGTTGAACGTCCTCCTCAGCCGCTCCACTACGCGATTTTCTGTGTTCGGTAGCATCTCCCTTCTCTCCAAACCGCATGCCGATAAATCGCGATTAGATTTGCGAAGATCTTCTAATACTTGTTCTCTTTTCTTGGTGCGAAAGGTTCCCTTCACTCTGCGCCATTCCCAGCTCATTCTTTCCGACTTGGCATGTGCCCAGGTCGGCTACGAGCTCAAAAGGTTAGCAGTGTTTTCAGGGCTTTTTGATACCATTTCAGAGAACGGCGGAATCTTGAGATGAATTAACAAGCAAATGTAAGGGGGGTTCTCACCGGTCCTTGAGCGTCGGGGTAGAGGCCCCTTGCAAGCTCGTCTAAGGTCGTGTTCATCGCATGCAGATGTCTCATGAAGAGATCGCACTGAGCGGGGTGACTGACTTGAAGCACCATTTCGACCTGATCCATTGTGATACGTTCTGTAGCCTCGATGTCCAGGGTCCGAAGCGTAGTATACAAAGCCGTCTCTTGAAGTTCTATTGCGTCGCGGAACGTTTCCAAATCTTCTTTCCAGTTTCGAAAACTGCGAATGGTCTGTCGTGTGGTTCGGTAATGATCCAGAGCATACAAAATGAGGGGTATTGCCCCGAGTACTACCCCCGCGACTTCCGCCATTAGGACATAAATTCCAGAACAAATTGACGAAGATGTTATCGAGCGAGCTAAAATAGAAGACGCAAGTTTTCTCAGGAATCTTAAGACTCAGGTCTAGATTGACATGACCTAAGCGTTTCTTCAGTCTGAACAAGGCTATGCCATTGCCCCCTGCACCAGGCCACCACGGCCCCGCACCAAGCCACCACGGCCCCGCGTCAGACCACCGCGGCCCCGCATCAAATCGCATTCAATATGAAACTAGGAGTTGTATACATAGACGTCAAGGCTCTCGGACCGTGTACTCATCGCTGATTATTGAGCGTCTACGAAGAAAACTCCTCCTTTCACCCTTCAGCCTGGTTTACACCATCCTGCAGGCCTTGGCAAGGATGTCGCTAGTATTGGACTCATCCAGTACCATTACACAAAATATCCATCAAGCCTATGCTCAATGCTTGAACAGCCTGAAAGACCTCATCGTTCAGCTTACTTATCCACCACATGACGACCTCCGTCACGACGAAAGAAGCCTTCCGAGGGCTTTAGAAACATATGGCCGACTACGCACATGGGGCGAAGAGTCCCGGGCTGCCTTGCCTGTTGGGTCACGCGAGTCGCTAGACCAGATCCTTCGTCAGGAGGATAAACTGAGGAACGCTTTCGTCAAGACTCTGGGCAAAATCCACCGTCAGGCGCTGTCCGGTGAGTGGGCAATATCAGTACCATCATGCATCTGATAACGTTTCACTTAGCTTATGGCAGCCTTCGAGCAATCGGTAGCGACTTCAGCAAATCACTACATGAACAGGAACACGGGTCTGGTGCTGATTCTGACTTTGAGAACAACTCAGATGACGATGATGGTGACCAGGAACACAAGGATGGCGGAAAACCAGACATGATACTCATAATCCTGCAACAGATAAACGCAGACATGAATCTCCTGGCCCAGATGTCGGTCTTGATGAAGAGGCCAGGATTTAACAGGAAGTATATTCATTCAACAGGAACAGCCGAACTTCACCACAAAGTCGCTATGTACACTCAGTACGATCTGCTTCATGTTGAAGAAAAGTTTCTACATTGGCAGACGCGAGGTTTCCGATGCCACGTCAACGAAGAGGTTGCTACTTTAGATCGTTTGGCGCGGCGTGCTTTGTTGGATAGCGCTCCAAGAGGCAGACATGTATTGCTGATGCGGCTGTCTATGGCTAACACTAGGCGTAGAGAGCAGCTTCATTACTGGTCTAAGCATCCAGATCAAATTCTCACCACGACCGGGGGAAAATCTCATGTCACGGGGACAACGCCAGAGGCTGGCGGGACGAGACACGAAGAACGCAACCAAGCAATCACTGGAGCGACACAGAAGCCAACAGATGGATCGGGAACCGAGATTCATGCACCAGAGTCTGCAATGAGCAGAAACACCTACTCCACCGTTGCTGCATCTGCTGTTCCAGGACTTCTTCATGCAACTAACCCGGAAGGAACCATATATGCAGAATCAACAGTTGGAACCAGGAGATCAAATCGAGTACCGGATGTGCCCAGGAGCTCTCGGAAAGACATCACATTTGAGTGCCCTTATTGTCACCTGGAGATCGACTCGCTGACGATGCACAATCGGCAACACTGGAAGTGAGCATGCAGCTTTTATATCTTAAGTGCCAACTCATAATAACAATTCCAGACGGCACATATTTCGGGACCTTAGGCCCTATATGTGCACATTCGAACACTGTCAGAGCTCTGACAAGCAATACTCGACGCGAAGAGATTGGAAATACCATGAATTCCAAACTCACCGAAGACAGTGGATTTGTAAACAGCATGACATAATATCTTTGTGTCGAGAAGATTTCAGTGCCCACATTCTTGAGCAACATATGGCTTCAATCCGTCAAGACCAGTTACCAGTTCTTGTCGAAATGTCTGAAAGAACAATGGATGATATGACCATCGTTCGGTGTCCCTTGTGTCCGGACGAACGTCGACTGATGACACTCCATAATCATATCGCCGAGCATCTGGAAGAGATCTCGTTGTTTGTGCTACCAATAAACATTGAGGACGACAACCAGGACGGGGACAATTCCGAACAAGGAGCTGACGGAGACTTCTCGTCACGAATGGAGGAATACGGATTGTCGATCTCATCCACCGATAATGCTACTGGAGACCTGTCTCGCAATCATTACATCCCATACAGGAAGGTTGCGGTGAAGATCATTAGGTGGGATGAGAGTCTTGATGATCTCCAAGGCCATACTAAAAAGGTTAGTGTATTGACCATGAATTCTTAAGCCGAAGTCGCCTCCTTACGCAGCCGATAGATCGACAGATTGCAGTCACTATTCCGGAACCTCGGCTACGAATGCAGCGTTAGCCTCATCCGCGATAGCAAACGCCCACAAATCAACCTGAACAAATGCGTCTTGGATCATGTGTGGACTTATGACGATCCACGCAGTCTGATGATTTTCTACTACATAGGTCACGCCAGCGCGTCCAAGGATCATAACGGAAAAGCCAATCTGAAGTTTTCGGCGTTAGTGAACCACTCGATGACATGGACAGTTGAAACGGGAACTAACTCAAGACAGGGGTCAGAACGATGAGTACACAGCGTATTGGCATCAAGCAGAATATCCTATACTGAACGGCGCTCATGGAGACGTTATAACCATATTGGACTGCTATTCCGCAAGCTCAGCAGCTTCGCGACCCAAAAGCGCGACTGATAATGGGAGTATGACGGAGCATAGTCCCGTTGCATCAAACTTGGTATCACCTGAGGATAGCATCGAACCCAAAGGACAAGTGGACAGTCCCAGTTACTCCCTCTTAGCATCATCACTAGGAGACGAATTTACACACGGTTCTGGACCAGCTAGCTTCACCGCAGTGCTATGCGACGCACTTGAGGAACTAGTCGCTGAACTTGACGGCGGACCGTTCCCGTTA